ATCTTTCGCAGTTCTCTTCAGTCTCTGCAGATACGAACCAAAGAAAATTCTTGAAATACCGTCACTTCAGTTATTAACCCCTTATAGTCCAGCATTAACCGGTTGGGCTTTACAGTGGAGACGTAATGTGTTTCCTGTGAGGTACAAACTGAACTTTTATAAATTGTGACACATATGTCCACTGCTAGGCAACGGTTAAGTAAACACATTTCCGAAGCATACCCTTTCAACAATAGGACATCCATTGCTATGTAACGTGCCAATAAACACGTATTCCTGGTAACAGGAGACTGAACTTTCCGTGGAGTATGTGCCGAGGTTAATATACAAAACTATAATTTTGCCTGTGGTTCTGTATGGGTGTGAAACTTAGTCTCTAGCATTAAGGGAGGAACAGGGGGCCGCGCCATAGCTCAAGCGGTTAGTCGCTGGCTTCCCATCACGGCCAAGTGGGATTTGTGGTGGAGAAAGTGACGCTGGGGCAGGTTTCCTCCGAGTACTTCGGTTTCCCCTGCCAATCTACATTCCACCAATTGCTCCACAATTACCCTCACCTATCATCTGGGGCTGGTACAATAGTCCAGAAGTAGCCGCAGTACAAGGGACTTAGTCCCACCCCACTAGCAATAAAAAAAAAGGAACAAAGACTGAGGGTGTTTGAGAACAGGTGTTGAGGAGAATATTTGGACCGAAGAGGGATGAAGTGACAGGAAGTTGGAGAAAACTGCATAATGAGGTGGTCGGTGTAGTGCGTCACGACAGGCCTACATGTCTTGTATGTAAGAGGAGTCTTGGCGAAGCAGAACAAAATGACAGCTGTTCCTCTTGCGTTGTTCAGTGACGGTCGCTTACTGACATCACAACAGGAACCAGTAGGCGCGACGGTGTTCAGTCTGTCTTAACTTGTTACACACAGCCGCAGTTCGTAACCACTTCTGGAGATAAGGCACCAGATACACAAGGAGACAACAGGATATCGTCATAAAGAAGGAAGAAAAGAGAGAGCGAAACCAGAAATAAATAGACCAGTTTAAAGGAAGGCAAATTTTAAATTTAAGCTTATTAACATACGTGTGTGGTGTGTCGAGTGGTTTGATGTGGCGTGGGGTGGTGTGTGGTGTGCTGTAGGATGTGAAGTGGAGTGGTTTCTGGTGTTCTGTATGATGTGAAGTGGAGTGGTGTGCTGTGTGGTGTGATGCGATGAAAGAGGACAGCATATTCATACAGATAACTAAATAACATTATTGACATCTTCAGACCGGCAGAAACTAAGGGAAGCGCTTCATGTTATATTCAGTACTAATGCCTCATGGCAGCTGTACTGACAATCGCAGCTAGTCTGCAGACAGTTCCCACTGTCTCAATTCATAACCAATGACTAGTCCGCTGACCTTTTGTGGTTTATTTAACGACGCTGTCGGTCTAGTGGTCAAGAGTTCCTGGCTACAGATGCAGTGGTCCCGGGTTCAATTCCCGGCACTACCAGATTTTCTGAGAAGTAGTGGGTCTGGAACGGGGTCCACTGAGCCTCGTGAGGATAACTGAGGAGCGATTTCAAGGAAATAGTGGCTCCGGTCTAGAAAACCGAGATTAACGGCTGTGGGGATTCCTTGTGCTGACCACTCGACACTCCCTATCCGCTAAAGTTGGTACTAACTTCGCCGACAAGCGGCGGTAGCTCGGTCGGTACAGTTCGCTTGCGGACAAAAACCACGGAGTTTGGTTTTTTGTTTTGTTTTGTTCTTCCAGCCATCGTACAAATTGGCCTGCCGGATGTTGCTTCAGAGATGGGAACAGACAGAGCAATATCCGAAGGTCAGAATTGATGGCGGAGTAGCGAGAGCAGCGGAACGGCGGTAGTGACGTCAAAACCTAGAGAATGGAAAAATTCATCCTGCGGCGAAGACTGAAATAGATCTCTCGGTGACCATTACGAGACTGGATATGCCCCAGGGTCACTCTGCAAATCAGAGCCCCTGGCGGAAATTGAATCCAGGAATTTACTAAAAATCCTTGAAAGTTCTTCCTTAAAGACACATGATATCTTAATATTTTACAGCAGTCAATATCAAGACGGCTGTTTTCTGGGAAGCATCGCCGTGTAGTCTGGTAAATGGCTCCTTAATGACTAACAGCACATAGTCTGACATTGGCGGGGACACGCGGTAGCGTAGTTGGTTGAGGCACTATGCTACAAGCCGGAATGTCGCGGGTTCGATTCCCGATGAGGTTATTGGGGTTTTAATTGACCTAATCTTTCACAGCCGCAATATGGCCTTAAGGTCGACTCAGCCTCTAACAGAAACGAGTACCAGGAATCTTCTTGGGGTAAAGGGCGGCCTGCGCGTAAGGCTGACAACCTCACCGCCATCTGTAAGCCGATTGTTTAGAAAATGTGGAAGCCTCGACGTCTCATAGCCCTACAGGCCTCCACTGCCTGTTACAGGGATAGCTTTACATTTTTACCTTTTTTCTTTTTTATTGCTAGTGGGGTGGGACTAAGTCCCTTGTACTGCGGCCACTTCTGGCCTATTGTACCAGCCCCAGATGATTAGGTGAGGGTGATTGTGGAGCAATTGGTGGAATGAAGATTGGCAGGGGAAACCGAAGTACTCGGAGAAAACCTGCCCCAGCGCCACTTTGTCCACCACAAATCCCACTTGACCAGGCCCCGGAATCGAACCCGGGCCCCCGCGATGGGAAGCCAGCGACTAACCGCTTGAACTATGATGCGGCCCACCTTTTTACCTTACTCTGACCTCGGTAGATATCATGCCTTTCCTTATCCAAGAATATGAAAAAGAATCAGGACTGTGTAAGACTCATCCGTTGGTCCGTTTATGCACGTAAAGCGCTTAAATAATAATAATAATAATAATAATAATAATAATAATACTTATCTTAAGTCTATAATATCGTATCTTGGACGTGCAATACGGTGTTTATGTGGACATTTCTGGATTGTGACAGGGCCAACAAGTCTGCAGCTCGTGTACAGAAACCCAGACGAGCCTACGTGAGTCAGTGGAAAAGCCAGATGAACAACTCGTTACATTTTCCTGCGAAATTGGAATTGCGCAAACGCCATTAAGACGTAGTTGCCTTGTTCAGACTTCCCAATGAGAAATAGAATGACATGCATCAATCCGGGCCGGGGGGAACTCGAATTTTGAAATCCGGACCTGCGCATGTGCAAGCCATCTCCGCTCTTCTTACTCTTTCTCCATATGCTGAAGTGTACGGCGTGATCCGTGATTCTAATAAGAAATTGTAATTAAATGTATTTCCTTCGTTCATTTGTCAGTGGCTCTACACCCCTTTGTTGGGCCCTGGCCTCTTCTTCAGTTTCGTACTCATTTTTATACAGACGGTAGGACTCCTTGGACGGGGGATCAGCCCGACGCAAGACCGCTACCTACACACACAGCAACACAGACACAGAATAAATACAGACATCCACGCCTCGCTTGGGATTCGAACACACGATCCTAACTTTCGAATGAGCGAAGATGGTTCATGCCTTAGACGCGCCGTCACTGTGATCAGCTAAATAAGCATTTATGTACAATAAATTAAAGAGTGTAATTTGCAGAACAATACAAATATGAGTGAATTAACATCAAGGTCAATCAACTTCTTGTTTATTATTCTGATAACTGACCCAGCTAGTTTCCCTAACTACATGCTCATCCTTGTAAGGAAAAGTTGCAGTAGCCCCCATCCTAATTATACACAAAAAACAAACTCCATGGTTTTAGTCAGCAAGCGAACTATACCGAACGAGCGACCGCCGCTTGTCGGCGAAGTTAGCGCCAACTTTAGCGGATATAGAGTGTCGCGTGGTCTGCGCAACATTTCCGGAGTCGCTACTTCCTTGAAATAGCTCCTCAATTATCATCACGAGGCTAAGTGGACCCCGCTCCAGACCCACTACTTCTCAGAAAAAATCTGGTAGCGCCGGGAATTGAACCCGGACCTCTGGATCTGTAGCCATGAACTCATCAATATACCAAACCATCCGAAGGTAGAAACAGACGTAGCAGGGATAGAACCATTCCCACTAAGCCGATACTACGAAGGCCGGTTGGAAGAGATCAGAGGCAGAGTTACTTTATGACTGGGGCGCTTTACCGCCAATAAGTTCGTCTTGGTGCCATGCCCCTTGAGACTCACGACAAATAATTTTATTTTCCCGCTGAACACTTGCTATCATAGTCCTTATGTCCTGTCGTTCAGATTTGGTGCTGGTCCTCGCCAGCGCAGTCACTCTCAGGTCCGAGTCCCGCAGGACTCATGACCACAATTTACTGTCTCAGATTCGAGACTCTCCAAACCCGGAGAGCCAGATCCCCGTATTTATATCCCTCAGGAACAAGGTGGCACAGTTATACCCCTAGGCATTGGGCTCCCTTTTCGTCGCCTCCTACGGCTCGCAGGGCTGCGGTGGAGGTATTCGACCTCGACTCCACGCAGGAGTCGAACTACAGCCATATAGACCCTGACATCAGGATTTGTCAACGGAAGACAACAGGAAAATATACAGTAAAAAAAATTGATAATGTATGTACAGACCTAAACCCCTCTAACAGAAATGAGTACCAGGAATATTCCCGGGGTAAAGGGCGGCCGGCGCGAAAGGCTGACAACCTTACCGCCATCTATGAGCCGAATGTCTAGAAAATGTGGGAACCTCAATATCTCACAACCCTATGGGCCTCCACGGCCTGTTACAGGCATACCTTTACTTACTTACTTTACAGACCTAAACCTAAGACAGAAAATTAAATGTGTCCTCTACTAGCTTGTACGTAAGTTTACAAGGAAATTCTCCTACTTCTCCAGCTAGAAAAAGGTCTACTCCTCCTTGGGAAAAGAATCCTGACGGCTTCCATGATCACATTCTCGGTCTGTAGCTTTAGGGCTTCGTCTCTGACTCAGCACTTGACTGGCCGCAGAGTGAGGAAGCATCTTTACGAGAGAGTGTGTCTGCTCCATTTCAGAGCTGGTCGCCCAGCAGAACTCGTAAGGGCGACACAATGGATGTCGAGTTCAAGGACCTGTGCTACACCGTCAGCCCTCGGCGATGGAGTCGAAACGGTACGTACGTCACGTGACACAGACCGAGCAAGCTGGCTCAACCGGCAACGCTCTAAATATCTGTCAGAGAGGTGCTTGGTACATATCTCGGCCTACACACCAAATTTCCTCATATAATTCAGAAACGTGACGGCTACACCAATAACATTCATCGGTGTACAAGCCGTGATAAGAACGCACTAAAAACATGAAGTTCTGGGAAGAAGTAATTTGACTGCTAAATTGCTGATGGTCCTCGCCAGCACTGTGATTCTTGGATCCAAATCCCACGGGACTCACGACAATATTTTACTGTCTGACAGCTCTGGGAGTCTACTATCAGAGAAAGAGTCGCTTTACGACTGGCGGCTTGCCACCAATCACTTAGTCTTGGCTTCAAGCCCCTTGAGAGCCACGACCAGAGATTTTTTAATTGAACTCTTGCGGTAATAGTCCTTATCCTTATGTAACATTTGGTACGACACGAACCGCAAAGGAAACACCGCGTCCAACAATTCTATTGCCGCGGAAATGTGTTTACCGAACAGTTGCCTAACACCTATAGATAGGATGGGATACACACAGATAGCAAAGCGATCTCATAAGTCTTATTTTTCAAAATAATGAATTTATGGTAAAGAAGGGAAAATGTGGGTAGTTGGCGAGCAGGTATCCGTGTGTCGGAGGCACCTCCTGCCTGCAAAAATGGAAGGACGCTTCCCCGAAGCTGTGGTAACTATTTACAGAATACACGGCGTCATATGCCAGAAAACTGAATTATTTACACCGCCATGGTGCGCCATAAGAACCTCAAATTTTCCGAACCCATTCGCATAACTTAAGTCTATTAGTGTCCACTGCGCAAGACAGCGTGATCACTTTCTGAACACTTCACAGTGGGACGCACTTGCTGAAGTGTGTGGCAACCTTAATCACAGGATGACAAATAAGAAACACTCTGCAGACCGCATGACTCTTTAAGCCACAAACATCTGACGTCATGACAACGAACAATAGCTTATGAATGCCAGTCACATGAGTAGGATAATTCATCGGCTTTGTTAATTTTTTAGAATCTGTTTTCTTCCATTAACAAATTTAATGAGTGACAGAGGTTAAAAGATTTTTGTATAAAATTCTTAATAATATTCGAAGGTTTTGTTTTAACTGTCACATAAACATATATTTCTATTTTTCTTAATCATATATTACATGTTTCGACTGGAAAACGGTCATCATCGCGTGGAATATACCAAAATAATAAAAATGTTCACATTGTAAGGTAAAAGATTATAAAAATATATAGAACGTATAAAAATTCAAAAAGGAATCATTTATCTCAGGTTCGACTTCTTTTCGCGAGTCTCTATAGTTCGCTTGCGGACTAAAACCACGGAGTTTGTTTTGAGTATATAGCGCCTGTCACACTACACAAAGTCGCTTAAGTTTCCTAATTCACTGGACAAAGTATCTATTTCAGGTCTTGTGATATGATTTTGGGTCCTTTTGAGCCTTTTCCCCTTATTTTCAAAGAAATAAAAGTAGGCTTATGATATCACAATGCTGTTTGTGTGTGTGTGAGCCCCCCCATTGTAATTATGCAACGCCTAGGTAAATACTTTCCAGCGGCAACTAAGAATTGTTTGAGGCGTCGTTTTCTATGTGGTCCGTGTCGTATCAAAGGAAAGAAGGAGATTAGTTCTTCCCAGAACTTTTTATTATTCTTAAAATAAAATATTCCCTGTGCCTAACTAATTAATCACTACGCCATAAAGACGTATGGATTACTGGAGGCATAGATCTATGTATTCTTGACATCCGCACTAGTTGGAAGTGATTGGTCAGATTCACGGCCCGGCCGCTTTACCACTGGGGAAAGGACCCCCGGTACCTATTGGACAGGAGGCTGTGTGGGCCCCAGAACCACTTTGCTTTCTTATTTTTTTCCTTGGCACTACAGCCCCAGTGGGCCTAGGCCTACCTCCATGAACTTCTCCGTTCACTTCGGTTTACTAGATCTTACACATTCGGTAGGACTCCTTGGGCGGGTGATCGGCTCGTCACAAGGCCTCTGCCTGTACACAAACACAGAAAAACGCGCACACACAAACTAGACATCCATGCCCTGAGTGGGATTCGAACCCACGATCCGGTTTCCAAGCGAACGAAGACATTACCGCTCGGCTACCGTGACCGGCTTGTTATTCTTATGTGTTACCTTTTTCTATTCTATGTACTCTCGCCCAGTTAAGCCAAAACAATTATAGTGTATCAAAACAAACTCCGTGGTTTTAGTCCGCAAGCGAACTATACCGACTGAGCGACCGCCGCTTGTCGGCGAAGTTAGTGCCAACTATAGCGGATAGAGGGTGTCGCGTGGTCAGCGCAACGAATCCCCATGGCCTTTAATTTCGGTTTTCTAGACCGGAGCCGCTATTTCCTTGAAGTAGCTCCTCAATTATCCTCACGAGGCTGAGTGGACCCCGTTCCAGACCCACTACTTCTCAGAAAATCTGGTAGCGCCGGGAATTGAACCCGGACCTATGCATCTGTAGCCAGGAACTCTGACCACTAGACCGCAGAGGCAGTCAATTATGTCGTATCAGTGGAAATACAAAACAAGAACGTTTTATATAAGATTTACGTGATGAGTAATCTCAGAACCTTGAAGCATGGACACAAACACCAATCAAGCATGGACACAAACACCAATCAATCATATAAAGTCGCAATGACGTCCTGAGGCTGGTTCAATTCAACACACGCGTCACACTCACTTTCCTGTGCCGCCAACATAGCAATGGAGCATTTCTCCTAGTTCCTGCGGCTTTCCCCTCCCGGTCGTCATTCCACCATTACTGCATATCCACCTACCACCGCCCACTGAACTATATGATAGCCCTGACCACGCAGCACAGTATCACATCCTCGGGCTTTAAGTTGGGTGCTTCGTCTCAATCCCGGAACTTGGTTGATTACGAAACAAGGAAGTTATTTTATTATTTCAGGTCTCCAAAAACGGGTTCTCAAGTCTGTTAGCGGAGTGTTCAAGTCTGGAGAGCTTTCCGCCATTATGGGGCCCTCCGGAGCTGGGAAAAGCAGCCTCCTGAACGCGGTTTCCGGTTACAGGTAAAGACAGACGGGTTTTATAACTGTAGGCTAGAATTCGCCTGGGACTGCGACACAATGAGGGACTAAGAAACGTATTGTATGAAAGATAATGAAAAAGGAAGGTAAAGTTGTCCCTGTGCTTAACTGGTTAAGCACTGCGCCATTAAGTCTTATGGGTAAGTGGATCTATATATCCACATTTTCTTGACCTCGGCGTTAGTTGCAAGTGGGTGATCAGCTTCAAGCCCCGGCCTCTTTATTCCTGGGGAAAGCTCCCCTTGTACCCATTGGATAGGAGGTTGGGTGGACCACAGAGCTGGTCTAGACGACTTAGAGATGAAAAAATTCTTGACCCTACCGGGACTCGAACTCCGACACCTAGGTCATCTATCCCTCAGCCAGTCGCTATACAGACTACGCCTTCCCGGCCCCCCGAAGAAATAGGAAACTGAGGAAATTTTTCTAATACAGTGTTCCCCAATTTCGTCACTGAACCCCTTGGCACTCGAAAAAAATGTACGGAACACATAATAAAAATCTTACATATGAAACTTAAAAACTAGACCACGAATAGGTAAGGATAACAATAAGTAATTGTTAAAATTTTTGGTGAGTGTTATTCGTGGGAGATAACCTTAAAAGTCGGTGTCGATATATCGTTCGATAACATGAAGTGCAGAGAAGTATGGAGGAAAGCAGACGGTACTGGCAGTGCTGAAGTTTATACAACAAGCGGTCAGGCTCCCCACTGAATTCCCGACGGATGTTACATTAGTTTTTCATTCGAAATCGAAACGAAACTTCTGAGGCTTATAGAATGATTTGACAACACCGTGCACTGTGACTCAGATGTATATTCATATGAATGCCTTCGCACGTTTCGGTCAGTTATGGCCATCTTCGGAAGGCATAACAACTCGCTGAGGAAACTACTATTACAGTGATCAAACAAACAAAAAACAAACTCCTTGACTTTAGTCCGCAAGCGACTGAGCGACCGCCGCTTGTCGGCGAAGTTACTGCCAACTTTAGCGGATAGAGGGTGTCACATGGTCAGCGCAACGAATCCCCACGGCCATTAATTTCGCTTTTCTAGACCGGAATCGCTACTTTTCCATTCAAGTAGCTCCTCAATTATCCCCATGAGGCTGAATGGACCCCGTTCCAGATCAACTATTTCTCAGAAAATCTGGTAGCGCCGAGAATCGAACCCGGACATCTGGATCTGTAGCCAGGAATTCTGACCACTAGACCACAGAGGCGGTCATTGATCATAGTACATAAAGTTGAATCAAAGTTTTATAAAAAGATTTTTTCTTTTTTCTTTCCTTTGGCGCTACAACCCAAATTTAGCCCTTGGCCTACCTCCATGAAACTCTCCGTTTCACTTCGGTTTACTAGATCTTAGACATTCGGTAGGACTCCTTGGGCGGGTGATCAGCTCGTCGCAAGGCCTCTACCTGTACATGAACACTAAACATCCATGCCCTGAATGGGATTCGAGTCCACGATCCCGGCTTCCGAGCGAGCCTTAGACCGTTAGGCTACCGTGACTGACTATACAGATTTTAATTAAGATAAAATGTGTTTGAGTTAAAAATAATTAAAATTCTTAATATTTAAAATCTTAAACCGCTAAGGTTCGTGTGGAGTGTGTGTGTGCCGAACGAGAATGAATAAAGTTAAAACTTCTGAGGCTTAATAAATTTGTCTGTGTTGGTTACTTGTAATTAATTTGCCTGTTTATGCCTCCAGAACCCTGGGAGTGACGGGTACGCTTTGTACAAATGGAAAGCCACGAGACAACCACATCTTCCACAAACTCTCCTGCTACATTACCCAAGAAGATTTACTCCAGCCTCTCTTAACTGCTCACGAAATCATGATGGTCGCAGCCCAACTGAAGCTGCCCAGTCAGATCTCAGACGCCCGCAGGCTGAGCACGGTAATATCACGGCTACATAATATACATAATATACTGCACAACATATCCAGTGGCATCATTCAAAACGAAACACTACCTGCTTTAACATTAAAGTATTCTGCATTCTGCCCCCAGAGTGTATTTATGTGTAAATGGATATGTATTGTGACATGAGGCCCGAAAGCCGAAATACTGAAGTTAGAGTAAATATTCATTCCTGCTTCTTTATTAAAACTGCGTACTGACCTTGATGAGTTGTGGCGGTTTTAATAAAGAAGTTGTATATTACAACACAACAGGATGCATGAAATAAAAATTATTCATTCCTGGGTAACGGTTACAGAGACAAAACAACGTGACAACACCGTTGATATGGCAGCAGATACTTGGTAAATAACTCGTTCCTGTGACGAACGGTGTTTTTTGTATGTCCACCACGAGGTTATCGTATAACGACAAGAATGAGGGAGCCTCTAGAAACCTGTGTGGAAGAGGGGTCGAATACCTCCACCGTGACCCTGCGAGTTGCAGGAGGCGGACGAAAAGGGAAATCTCAAATCTGAAACAGTAAAATATGGACGTGAGTCCAATGACAGACCCGTCATCTTGTCAGAGAAGGCGCCCCACAATAACAAGACCGTAACTGTGAAACAATAATAATTATCTGGTCATGAGCCCCAGATGGGGCTCGACACCAAGACTTACTGACTGACTGACCGTCAGTCGTAATGTGACTCTGACTTTGACTTGAGCCTCTACAGTCGACCGTTCAAGTGACTAGACCGCCGTTAGAGCAGAAGCTACTAATGATAGGGCATGATCTGCTGTGCTGAGCCTGGACAGAGGCAGACATACTGGCAACAGACTTATTACTGCTGTGAATCAGGAAAATTACAGACCTGCCATCTCGTCAGAGACAGAGCCCCACATCAAGAAACCTGCAACTGTCAGGCAGGAATAAAAGTCTGGTCTTAAGCCCAAGATGGGTGCTTTATTTCGAGACAGACTTGTCGACTGACCGTCAGTCGTAACATACTTTGACTTTGACTTTGACTTTGAGTCTCCAGTGAGAGGGAGAGAGACAGCAGTCGAAGATAATGAAGAAGAGATGGCAAGAAATGGATTAGGCTGTGGAAAGAAGACTTCGTGAGCGCTGCAGTTACAGTGAGACTGTTATAAATCCGTTGCCAGGATACGACTAGTGAAGATGGAGAAGACTTAGAGAGTCCTAGTGATCTGTAAAGTTCGAAAATTAGTGATAGCGCTGTATGACTTGTAGTTACAAGCTGAATGCAATAAATCCAACCATCCAATCCAAAACACGTCAACAGTCAAAACAGCCCTTACACATAACAGTATTTTGCATCCTTTGATGCAGAAACTAATTTTAATCAATAATTAACGGCTCTCAAGGAGGATGAGGTGAGCAGGGCATGTAGCACGAAAGGGGAGAAGAGGAATGCATATAGGATATTGGTGGGAAAGCCAGAAGTAATGAGACCACTGGGAAGACCAAGGCGTAGGTGGGTGGACAATATTAAAATGGATCTGAGAGAGATAGGATGGGATGGTATGGATTGGATTGATGTGGGTCAGAATAGGGACCAGTAGAGGACTCTTGTGAGCACGGTAGTGAACCTTCGGGTTCCATAAAATGCTGGGAAATTCTTGAGTAGCTGCACAGTTGGCAGCTCCTCAAGAAGGGCTCAGCTCCATAAAGAAGTAAGTAAGTAATGACTGTCATACTTCGAAGTGCAGAGATCTCTAATACGGCTATAGACATAATGTAATATAGATTATGTTATCGGTATATAGAGAAGAATCGAAATGGCGGACTGGCTTTGTACAAAGTTCTATCATACCACATTTGTATAACGGTTTATGATATACATAAAAACATCCATTAGGATTTTAAGAAAAATGTTTTTTTTTGTTGGTCAGTATTAATAAAAACTGTAATTTCCAGACAACTTTGAATGAAAATCTTCCAAAACGTCAAAATAAAAATAAGACCTCCCACGTCTTTTGGCTTGATACCGGCTCACGGACACACGAACGCACATGACCTCGACATAACACGCTTTTTTGTTTTTGTAAATAATGCCTAATGCTGATAACAGGGGCCGCGCGAGCGGTCTGAGGCATAAACTGTCCTTGCCCGCTGAACACGGGGGTCGTGGGTACTGCCACTCAAGGCATGGATGTCTCTGTGTGTTTATTCTGTTTGTCCTCACCTGTGTGCAGGTAGCAGCCTTGCGACGGGCAAAAAAAGCGACCAAGGCCCAACAAAAGGCTCTAGAGTCATACTAGAATAGAAATAACGCCTAATAACCAGGACCCGGATTTTGATGACATGTCATCTTTTTTCCCTTGTATCCTATGCGATGCCCTTACATATATAAATCTCGGATATGAGCTGCTGGTTATAGAAATGTAAATTTTATAGGTACTTTTTTTGTCATTTTTTGACATTTTTAGGTTTAAGGCCATTTTTTCATTTTGGGGGTAATATTTTGGTAAATTTTTGGACTTTTAAGGGTATTTTTTGTCATTTTTGGCCATTGTAGGGAATTTTTCTTCATATGTTTTCTGAAATGTGAGTAACATGAAAGCGAAGTGTTTTTTTTTCTCCTTTAGGTCATTCTTTCTGGATTTTTTTCGGTCGTTTTTTAAATATTTTCAGATCATAAAAATCCGGGCCCTGCTAATAACAGATAAGGCCAAGCAAGAAACCAGTAGAAGCAGGCATATCTGCTGGTTTCCTGCTTGGCTTACTGCTCTGTCCTGGAAATGGAGACGATATTTTCCTCTGAAATACACTTCCTCAGAACCGAAGCGACTGTTCTCTTCATAGTCACCTCCGTAGGTGCCTCGAATCTAACATCACTGTAAATGTCCAGGCTGCGCAATTGTCAGGCGCGTTTTGCAGAGGCAGTTTTAAAGGAAAGAATTTAACTTAACGATGAAGAATCCTTTCTCTTATAATAACATACATTAAATTCCTAGTCACTGTTAGCAGATAATGAAATGTATAAGAAGTTGAAACTGCATACTGAATGAATGGCCAGTAGTCTACCTGTCCATCCACCTGTACTTCTGTCTAACTATCCATTTATCTACCTATATATCTATCTTTCTATCTATCCATCCATCCAGCTATCTATCTATCTATCTATCTATCCATCCATCTATCTGTCTATCTATCTATCTATGGCTCTACAACCCTTTTGTTGAACCTTGCCCGCTTTTCAGTTTCTTGATCCATTTACACAGTAGGTAGGACTCCTTGCATGGGGAATCAGCCCGCCACAAGGCCGCTACCTGCACACACAGAACAGTACAAACACAGAATAAACGCACACAGACAACATCCACGCCTCAAGTGGGATTCGTACCCACGATCCCAGTGTTTGAGCGGGAGAGGACAGTTCATGACTTAGACTGCGCGCGCAGCCACTGTGGTCAATATTACGTCTCAGTATTTATTCTTATGGAATCCAAACGAAAGTTAGGTACATATAAACCTCTCAGTATGCCTGTAAGTCAACCGACGTTTCGAAGGAACATATCGCCTTCGTCTTCAGGGTCCAATAAGTCGAGCTAAATACCAGCGTGAAACCAGGTGCCAAGCAGAGCTTTTAGATGCTGAAGATCGAGACGATACGTTCCTCCGAAACATCGGTTGACTTTCAACGGACTACACGGTGTTATATCCCAGAAGCTAATATTTTTCGAAAGCAACGCTGCTAGAACACCATTCCTACACTGGCCTATGCATGCAAGACTATAGTAACAGAACGGAAGTCTTAACGCAATAAAGGCCTTCTTTCTTCTTCTTATTCTTCTTCTTAACTGCGATTGTGTTCACGAGCCATGGTTTACTGTTGAATATGCAAGCCAAAAACATACTTAATGACGTCTATTTATTTAAATTTCTCAAAAAACTGTAAAATTTACTGAGAACTTCTTGTGCATATAAAACGAGTGTTTCAATTAATATTTATCGAAACATTTGTTTCGCCCCATAAAGTACGAGTATTAAGGACGTCACGTTTCACTTTTGATCGCACAAGTTCAGGAATGTGTCTATGGCATACATTCATTTAATTTCCTCGAAAACTTAAAAAAAAAAATAAAGGGGAAGTGTAAAAGGTAAAATTATCCATGTTCTTAATTAATTAAGCAGCACGCCATTAACAAGTATGGAGGAGTGGAGGTGTAGCTCCAATATTCTTGACCTCGGCATTAGATGAAGGTGAATGGTCAGTTTCATGCCACTGCCTCTTCAGCCCCNCCCCCCCCCCCGGACGGAGAACCCCTCTGTACCCACTGAATAGTTGGCTGGGTTGGCCCCAGCTGTGGCGAAGAGAAAATTTTGCACTGTCGGGAATTGAAATTTTGTCGTCCAGGAAGTAGCCAGTCTCTGTACTGACTCAGCTATCCCGGCTCCACGTACTGACTTAGCTATCCCGGCTCCACGGATAAATTGTGCCGGATAGAAAATGGGAGTTGCAATTCTTTTTTCACAAATATCTATCGAAATGTTTTCTTTAACCGACAAAAATTTAGCGAGGTATGCGCACAAAAACTCGTAAGATTGTCTTACAAGGCTCGACATTTTCTCGTAAAATTGTCTAATATCAAATTTGGCGAATATCGTTCCAGCGGTTCTGGAACTGTTTCATGCGATTGCTACGAACAGTCGGACAGATTGGAGAAAACTTAATGGGCGCCTCTCAAGCTTCAGAAATCACCTCTAAGCCCAAGAACATTTTTGTTTTAATCACGATGTAGGTCTATGGACAACAGCCAATGATTCATCTTGAAGTCGGAATAGGCTGACGGCTAGGTAACATGGCGATCATGTGTAGAAGCCACTGCCTGCGGTTGCATGCCTGGACACAGCAGGCTGCAGCTGATACTGGCAAGGCTTGAAGTCTGACGTTCACCTACTGAGAACCGGAAGCAGAAGCCATATTATTATGTTTCCCGCAGGAAATATGTAGTTTGAATTGGATACACAAAGAACCAGTCTGTCTTTCCTCGTGTTTATGATACTTCATTATGTTTATTTTATGTATTTAGTGCCCCCGTGACGGTCACAGTGGCCTCTCTGTATAAGGCATGAACTGTCTTCGTTCGCTCGGAAGCCGGGATCGTGGGTTCGAATCCCACTCAGGGCATGGATGTTTGGTTGTGTGTGTGCCCGTGCATTTTTCTATGTTTGTGTTGTCCTGTGTTTAGGTAGAGGCCTTGCGACGGGCTGATCACCCATCCAAGGAATCCTACCGTCTGCGAAATGATTACAAGAATAAGAGAAAACAACCTCGACACCCGTATAAGGGTATAAGAGGAACGGATTAAAAAAACGTTCTACTGAAATTTCTGAAGTTCAAAGGTATTAATAACCAGCAAGAAACAAAATTACGTTGTACTGTTAAAAGTAACGACTCCTTTCCCTTTCTGACGCTACTTTGATTCCCTAGACTTGAGTGGACAGGGTAAACGCTGCGGCAAATAAGAAGCCTAGTTCACAATGAGTCGACGATTATCACAAAATACCTGCGACATTCTAAATGTCATTTATCATATATGAGCAGAGGAATATCCTACACGAAATAAGAAAACGCAAGGCTAATTGGATTGGTCATGTTTTATGCAGAAACTGCTTTCTAAAAGAAATTATCGAAGGAAAGATAGAGGGGCGGATAGAAGTGACAAGAAGACGAGGAAGAAGACGTAAGAAGATGCTGGATGACCTTGGGGACAGAAGAGGATACTGTCATTTGAAGGAGAAAGCTCTAGATCGCATTAAGTGGAGGAATTGTTTTGGAAGAGATTGTGGACCTGTCGTCTGACAGATTACTGATGATGATGATGATGATGATGATGATGAAGTACTTAATTTTGACCAAAAGACACTAAAGTATCTGTGTCGCTATCCGCACACTCATATCGTGACTAATAAGTTTTCCACTTGTCAGAACTGGAGATATTGCTTATGATGTAAGGTGCTGATCTCGGACACGCTCAGCATCATCATTGCTGTGCTGGGACGTCCGGAAGTCTTCTTACTGAGGACACTTCCTGTTTCTAAAAATTTCTTTTTCTAGTCTGTGATACTGTTTCTAGAAGGAGGATCTTTCTGGTAATGTATTCTGAAGTTCCTCTGCGTTTGTGTCACCGATTTCGTTTCACAAAACGGCACCACTGTTTACGCTCTCTCTAGCGGAGTCGCCATCTTCTCAACAGTGAACACTGCACCGACAGCTATGAACACGTTCGTGACATGTAAAGAGGAGACTAAACTTTTTGAGTTGATCTTTCCGTCATTGCTAAAGGTTTGTTTCTGTCTTCGTTATTTCCCGAATTATTAAACATCAAAATATGTCAGACCTTTTGTAGACACTCCGTATTTATGATAAATCCCCCTGATGGTTGTGAGTCAGAATTGCTCGAATATATAGGTCAAGCAAACTCCGTGGCTTTAGTCCGCAAGCGAACTATACCGACCGAGCGACCGCCGTTTGTCGGCGAAGTTAGTGCCAACTTTAACGGATAGAGGGTGTCGCGTGGTCAGCGCAACGGATTCCCACGGCCGTTAATCTCGGTTTTCATGTGTAGTTCTACTTTACTTTATAAATACCGTTAACAAAGTAATAGTGAAATAAATATTTTCAAACCCTGTTCTGAAAAGTGAAAATACTAAGACACGAATTCGGAATAACACTACGAAATTACTATAAGATGGGATGTGACACCGTGTAGTCTGGTGGTAAAATAGAGTGTACTTGCTGCTTGCTTATTCGGCTTACTTATACCACATTACACGGTGTCACAAACCAGACGACAATACTCTTCGTGTTTATACGTATTTTATATGCTTCTTCAGGTTGAAGAAATCCTAAAAAATCTGGGTCTCTTCGAATGCAAAAACACAAGAACAGAAATGCTATCAGGAGGCCAGAAGAAACGATTATCGATAGCGCTCGAGCTGATCAACAACCCGCCAGTCTTCTTTTTGGACGAACCCACAAGGTAATACAATAATGCTAGTCAAATTAAAATATATATATATCGGTATAAATATTGCTTTCCCCTGCGGTGTAACGCTGCACAGTGTAGCAGCCTACCTCTATCCTTAAGGTAAATTTTGTAGCCTGAAGATGGAAGCAAAATGTTTCTCCGAAACATCGGTTGCTGTCTATGATACTAAACGGTGTCACATTCAAAAACAAAGAAGCCGTAAGAACATCGAATCTCGCGATATATATATATATATATATGAATTTTTAGTATCCACACTCGCAACCACAGACTTATCACTCCACAATATTAAGAATGATATGGGTGGATTATGTAGAATGCATGGGAAGGATCGGAAATGTATACAGTATTTTTGCCTGCAAACCTCAAGGGAAGACACCCCTTAAAAAAACTGAGGACGATATTAAAATGCATCTTTAAGAAACATGGTAGTTAAGTGTGAATTTGCTCAAGGCAGTTTTCGGTGACGTGCCCATGTGAACATGGCCACGAGGCTTTCCGCTGCATAATAGTAATTCTTTTCACACATGTATTTGGTGGTTGAGGCACTATGCTACAAGCCGGAAGGTCGCGGGTTCGATTCCCGATGAGGTCGTTGGATTTTTCAATTCGTCTACTCCTTCCAGCCGCACAATGACCCTAGGGTCTACTGAGCCTCTAACAGAAATGAGTACCAGGAATCTTCCTGGGGGTAAAAGGCGGCCGGCGCGTAAGGCTAACAACCTCACCGCCATCTGTGAGCCGATTGTCTAGAAAATGTGGGAGCCCCAATGTCTCACAACCCTGTGAGCCTCCACGGCCTGTTACAGGGATAGCTTTATCTTTCCCTCTTACTGTGATACCCAAGTGACAAGTTTCGTTAGCGACAAGAGACTGGTTGACATAGGCCAGAGGGGATGGAGAAGAACACAGCAGCCGGCAGAGAGGGAGAAGCCTCACCACCTATGGAATTTCGATCCACAGCCTCTGTATAGCTAACCTACTATCAGATTCTTAAAAGGGTACTGCTCCCAAGAGTTAACACTGTTTGATTGCGATCTTCTGTGATGTGATACCGTGTAGTTTTGTACATGAGTACCATCTGTTCGGAGGAACATGCTGTCTCGATCATCATGGTCGGAGTAGGGTGAGGGTACAACCTCTTCTTTGCCCTACTCATTTTGACCGTGAAGACTGAGGAGGTATATCTTCCGAAGCGATGGTAACCACTGTAAGACTGCACGGTATCATAGCCCAGAAAGCGACAAACCAATCACTGCAGAGGAAATATATACATAGACGCATTGTGTTAACGTTGCAGCGGACTCGACGACGTGACTGCAAGACAGGTACTACAACTGCTGCGAACTCTGGCGAGGCAGGGCCGCACTATAGTCTGCACGATACACCAGCCCAGCGCGTCACTGTTCCAGCTGTTTGACCACGCGTACATCGTGTCACAGGGTCTGTGTGTGTATCAGGGCACGACCCACGAACTCGTCCCATTCTTGTCGTCTGCAGGATTCAGCTGCCCAACACATTACAACCCGGCTGACTTCGGTAAGACCGTTATACAAGTTCGGAAATGTGGGCACAACAGAACAATTCTTTTTTAATTATCCCGGAAACAGTATCAAGACTTGAGGAAAAACCTAGCGATGGGCACAATATATTTCACTATTATCTACAACTCTTGGCCGTGCCATAGCTGAGGCGGTTAGTCACCGGCTTCCCAACGCGGTGGCCCTGGTTGGAGCCCGAGTCAGGTCATGTGGGATTTGTGGTGGACGAAGTGGCACTGGGACAGGTTTTCTCCGAGTGCTTCGGTTTTCCCCACGAGCACGCGGTAGTGTAGCTGGTCGAGGCACTATGCTACAAACAGGAAGGTCGCGGGTTCAAGTCCCGATTAGGTGGATTTTTTTTCCCAAATTGACCCAATCCTTCCAGCTGCACTACGGCCCTGAGGTCGACTCAGCCTCTAACAGAAATGAGTACCAGGAATCTTCCTGGAAGTAAAGGGCGGCCGGGGCGTAAGGCTGACAACCTTCCCACCATCTGGGAGTCGATTGTCTAGACAATGTGGTAGTCTCGACGTCTCACAACCCTATGGGCCTCCGTGGCCTGTTACAGAGATAGCTTTACTTTGGTTTCCCCTGCCAATTCTCATTGCACCGATTGCTCTACAGTCATCATCTATCACCTGGGGCTGGTAGACTACACCAACAGTGGCCACAGTACCAAGTTGACTCAGTCTCACCCAATGAGGGGAAGAAAATCTACAATTCTCGTAAGGGTAAGGTAAAGTTGTCCTTGTGCTTAACTAATTAAGCACCTTGCCATGCAGACGTATAACGAAAGAAAACAAACTCCATGGCTTTAGTCTGCAAGCGAACTATACCGACCGAACGACCGCCGCTTGTCGGCGAAGTTAGTGCCAACTTCAGCGGATAGAGAGCGTCGCGTGGTCAGCGTAACGAATCCCCGCGGCCGTTAATTTCAGTTTTCTAGACCGGAGCCACTATTTTTCCATTCAAGTTTCCCCCCCCCCTTGGCACTACAGCCCCAGTGGGCCTAGGCCTACCTCCATGAACTTCTCCGTTCACTTCGGTTTTTCTAGATCTTACAAATCCGGTAGGACTCCTTGGGCGGGTGATCAGCTCGTCGCAAGGCCTCTATCTGTACATAAACACAGAAAAACGCATACACACAAAATAAATATCCATGCCCTGAGTGGGATTCGAACCCACGATCCCGGTTTCCAAGCGACCGAAGACAGTACATGCCTTAGACCGCTCGGCTACCCTGACCGGCTTTCCATTCAAGTAGCTCCTCAGTTATCCTCACGAGGCTGAGTGGACCCAGTTCCAGACCCACTACTTCTCAGAAACTCTGGAATCGAACCCGCGACCTCTGGAACTCTGGCCACTAGACCACAGAGGCGGTCGCCATGTAGACGTATTCGAAACATTATTTTCTCCGACAAATTTACAATGAATTATTCTCGGTATGCGTAGCCCTTTATGTTCTGTTTGTCCGATTTTAACCATAAATTGATGTATCGACAGGTTTTATTAAAACTGCCAAATGTCAGATTTCATGAATATCCGTTTAGTTCTTTTCGAGTTGTTTCATGTGTGCACGCAGATGGAAGGAGAAAGCTATTTTAATATACGCTCCGCACCTGCTACGAATCCCCACGTACTGGTGTATCACTGGCTTCTTCCTGTACACTTCTGAAGCCACGTTGGTGTTAGTTGTTACGTGACAAAAACGTAAAAGTTACGGCTCCGGATAGATCCGTTTGTGCTTGGGTGAGGTATGTACTTTCTCTTTAGTGCACTTCACAAAACAATTTCCCATCTCCTCCTACCGTCAGTCTTCCCCTTCCTCCTCCATACACACAAAACTTTCCTGCTCTGTAAATAATATAACAGGAGTCCAGTTACCTTAGACGATATAGTGACTAGGCTATGGGCTGGGCGGCCGAGTTTCATGATTCCATTCGTGCATGCCTGACTTGAGATGACATACATAACACAATGTGAATAAACTAACCTCATTTTAAAATTAAAATTCCTTACCTTCCCGCGTCTGGCTCCAGTGTCACTGCATCACGCGCTATCTAATCACACACATTAAATCCTAACTTTGGTTAAAATCACTGTATGCAATTTCAGACGCTTCGGAAATTACGGATGTAAATTATTACAACACACGTTTATTTTGTAAAATGTCCTTCATTATTACACACTTCATATGATGTGAAATATGTTTTAATTACTAAGTAAACGGATTAAGAGAACGCTAACCCTGACACCCATCACTTCGCGCGATTACTGTACGGTAACTGTCCTTTGTTTTTCGCGCTGAATGATGGGTAATCTGAATGAAACATTTGGCGGATTAATTTGCCAACATATTCTTAGGTGGGAAATATGAACGGATATATCCAATGCTGGAAGGGGTAGTGGCGTTCGGAAATGATTATTCAGTTATCCGTTCTTTACATAAAGCGTATAAAATGAACGCATAATTAGGAGATCGTGCCTGACCGTCCGATAATGCTCACAGGAGTCATGAAATGTACTGAGCGTCTGTACCGAAAGATATCCGATAATTTATTTTCTTGCCTTATTGAATCGCGGTAGCGTAGTTAGTTGAGGCACTCTGCTACAAGCCGGAAGGTCGTGGGTTCGTTTCCCGATGAGGTAATTTGATTTTTTTTTCACTTTACTTCATCCATCTAGCCCTAGGTTCGACTCAGGCTCTAACAGAAATGAGTACCAGGAATCTTCCTGGGAGGTAAAGGGCTGTCGACGCGTAAGGATGACAACCTTACCGCCATCTGTGAGCCGACTGTCTAAAGAATGTCGGAGCATCTACGTCTCACAACCGTATGGGCTTCTATGACCTGTTACAGGGATAGCTTTACCTTTTTTTTAGTTGATCCAGTACAGCTACATTATATGAAGTTCCTAAAGAACTTAATAAGGATTTGAGATTCTCATAGCAGTGGTTGTGAAGAGTTCTTTCTATCTTCTGGGATATATGTCGAATAGTCCGTTGAAACTCAACTGACGTTTCGGAGGAACATATCGCTTCCATCTTCAGGGTCAACGATTAAACCAAGCAAGAATCCAGCGTGAAAAGCAGGTGGCAATCGGAGCAGTCGCCTTGCCTTCGAAGTCAAAGTCACCTTGGTGTTGGTCTCTCATGTCAGAGTCACAGTCAACAATAACAAGTCAGTTGTCATTATGTAGATATTTGCAGTTTACACGTTATTACATGGTATAAAAATGCATATGTATATACATGTACAATCTATACAAGGCCTCTGTCAGTCCAAGGTCAGTACAGCAGATCATGCCCTATCCTTAGTAGCTAATGCTACAACGGCAGTCTGATCACTTGAACGGTAGTATGCTTCACCACCGCCAAGTTTAAGCCTCTTATATTTTCTGTCTGGCTTCGCCTTGTCCAATATTGCGAACATTTACGCTTTCATAATTTTGTATGACTTCTGCTTGTTGCCTGCATAATTTTGTTATATAATCATATACGTACAAAAGTCTGAAAGCCATGTGCAAATCCAAAAGCAGCGTGCGCCTTGGAAAAATGTCAGTGATATGGAGTACCCTGCTTTGCAGGTGCCACAGTTTTAAAAGATGGCTATCTGCCGAAAATTCTCAGGTGGGGCAAGCGTAAGTCATTATAGTCCTAATGAGTGCTTAATTCTGTATGGAACGGAACAGTCATGGCCTATCTTTACATTTACCTGGAGTAGGACTGAGGGTAACAAGACAACAAAGTCAAACTAACAGGTAACCACATGGAGATTTGAACCTGGACCTCCAAGATATGAAGCAGGCGTGCCAGTCTTTCGAACGCGATGTTGGATGTGTCCATTGTCACTTCCTCCTGAATGTCAACCCTCCCTTTTATCAAGGGTCAGCTTTATACTTATAAAATTTGTAATTCTGTGGCTTTTCTCACACTTTTCTCATATGCATAATGAACAAAGTAGTAAACATGAAAGAAAAAATAAAGTCATACAAAATTTTGGTTTAGAAGCCTCCATCATCACCCCTCATGTTAAATGCAAATGCTTCAACTTCATGCAAGATTTCATTGAACAAATCCTATGAGCCTTCAGAATATCCATCCTTGAAAAGCTCAACATTATTGGATGAATGATGGGTCTGCAGATGTACTTGTTATAATTAATTCTCCATAGTGAGGAACATTATAAGAGGGTTGTAGTCTAAAAATTGTTTGATTCCAGTGATTGAAGTAACGGACGGGGAGGAGAAGAACATTGCTGTCTTGTCAAAAGCTATTTGTAATGGAAAAGTGAGCTGGACTCAAACGCATTTAATTCCACTTAAAACACAAGAATATGAAAAGAAAAATGGAGGAACAACAAAGCAGACAGACAAACAGTCTCTTCATTTCGAAACTACAAATATTGCTGCCCTCACAGGTTTGTCAAATGTCATAGTTGCATACTGATTATAACCTAGCTTTCGGTATTCTACATAAATGTAATATATTCTTCACAGTTTAATATTGTTTTAAGATGTTACATTGAATAAAAAAAATTAATATTACACATAATTTTGGAATATAACATTCTCAAATAAGACACGCCATCAATCTCAGGGAAGGGAGAAAATATTTTTGTTATCCTACAACCCCGTTCTTAATCTTTCAAGAAAATTCTGTTTGTATTTCTTGTCTTCTCTAGGCATGCTCATAATAACCTCCTAAACACAGCCTTGGCCATATCGGAAGATCTATATACATCACAAAGTTCCTCATTACGTAATACCCTGAAATATTCATATACTTCCATCCTTAGATCCACACATTTAAAATAAATATTAATGCAAAAATGCTGAACTATTACCCAGGCCACTTCCACATTGTGGAAGCCTTAGTGCAAACTCAGTGTCTCCATTTGCCTTCTAGGGCAGTCAAAGTGTCACTGAAGTGGTTTTTTCTCTTGAGTTAATTTGATTTTCCCTTACTAATCTTCACTCCAGCTTGGCTCCATACTCATCTATCACAGTCCCCTGAGGTGGTGTGTGACAGCCCAGGCCAGGTAGCACAGTTCACATCTCAATCTTGATATTTAGGGTTTCATCTGTGACCTGGCATTTGGGTGGGGGCTGAACAAATTAATTTTTATATTAATGTATGGATTATTTAAAAATACATTGTTGATGACTCACCTCCATCTAGTGTCAAGGTCAAGAAAAGTGGAGCTATACCTCATATGTCTTCATGGCATAGTGGTTACCTAATTAAGCACAGGGACTTTACCCATTTATCAGTCTCTGAATATAAAACAACAAATCATAGGATTAATGAATTTTGAATTGGAAAGGATATGGAAGGAAACGGTCCAAACATATTTCCATGTACAATCCCAGAAGTCACCTAGAGGGACTGACAAAAGAAAACAAAAAGTTCTCAGTCAAGACAGTTGATGCCCATGACAAGATTCAAACTTCATACTTCCCAAATCCAATCAGAAGTTTTACCAAGTCAACTCGCTTGGTCAATAGTTTTTTAATTCACTCATCCTCTAACAGAAATGAGTACCAGGAATATTCCTGAAATGTTCTTGGGGGCAAAGGGCGGCCGGTGCATAGGGCTGACAACCCTGTCGCCATCTGTGAGCCGATTGTCTAGAAAATGTGGGAACCTCAACATCTCACAACCCTATGGGCCTCCATGGCCTGTTACAGGGATAGCCTTACTTTACTTTACATTCTGATACTTTGAGGAATTGAAATCAATCTACTTCTGTTTATTATGAACAGCAAGTGAAAGAAAAGTAGACTCGTCTAGTGAAAGCAGTTTGTCCGACGTGCACTGCCCTGTCATGTACCGACGGATAAGCCAGGTGAAGAATGTGAGCTATCCAACATCCACCTGGTTCCAGTTCTGGGCACTGTTCAAGAGAATGATGTTACAGACAAGTCGCAGCAGGGTGAGCAACCACTTACAGTGAAGATGACACTCAAGGTGTTGCATGTACATGAACACAGCATGCCCCTCTACTCAGGCATAACAGTTGCAAAGCCAACTTGTGACACTGAATTTACTTTAAATAGGAGCTGGGATAGCTCAGTCGGTGTAGTGACTAGACTACAGGCTGGACCACTGATGAATTAGGGACAAAAGATCTTTCTTAGTGTCCAGACCAGCCCTAGGGCCCACCCAGCTTCCTGTCCAGTGACATCAGGCGCTCCTTCCATGGGGGTACACTGGCCAGGGCATGAAAGTGACTAATCGCTTCCATGCAGTGTAGAGGTTAAAGGTCCATAGAGCATAGGCACAATAGATCACTGTGGTCGTGGTGCAAGGGCCAAGAAGCCCCGCCCCTTATATACTCATTATACATCCATAGGCTTTACCTCCATTCCCCCGTATGTCTTCAATCTATCTTCATGTGCTTAACTGAGCACAGGGACACATTTACATTTTTCAACACTCCTTAAAATGCTTCAATCTGTATTTTAATATCAGCAATCATGTAGTTCAATTATTATAATTTTAAATATTTTGTAATTTTGCAATTCTATGCTATCTCTGGCTACTTGCCTTACATCATTTACCAAAAGTCATTGTGATACGTTACTGAGGCTTGACCGTAAATAGATGTATGTCTTTACAGATTATCATGTTCTATAAGAGCAATATATAACTTTTATACTCAAGGACTACATTTCTTTCCTATAGGTGGCTCTTCAACTTCAAATGTTCCATCATGTGGCGTGTGCACTCATGATTGGTAGCGTGACATACCAGAATGCATCAGATGGAAATGAAATGTTCAAACATGTAAAGTTCTGCATGAGTGTGATACTATTTCACTCGTACACATGGTGCATTGCACCAGTGCTGCTTTGTAAGTATTCACATACACTCACTTCAAGACTGAACTTCAAATCTCTTAAAAACTCGAGCACTTATTTGTTAAAATCTTTTACACTGTGTTCTTCTATGGTAAGACATTCTTGTAGTTGGTAACTAGCTACCGGACTATATGGTATTATGACCCAGAAAACAACAAACTAATTTTTCACTACCATGAGAACCTCAGCTCTTATAATGGCTGACTTGATTCATCACACTTAACCACAGCTGTGTTGGTTAATATACATTGTCTCAAGATATAAATATAAAGGTATAACCATTTCCTTAATTAAACATCACACCATGAAGACTTATGGGGAAGAGGGAGTAGAAATATTTTCAATACCTTCTTAACCTTAACACTACATGGACGTGAGTTAAATTTGGCAAATATTACACCATAGTTCCATACTAGTAATATTACAATGTTTGTAACTGTACAAACATATTAAAAAATGTTTCATACAGAATTTGTATGTTTATAGTTATATATATATATATATATATATATAGTTATAGCAAATATTGTATCTCTAGATCCACTAGTTTGTTATCACCATCAAACTGAAAGCTAATTATGGCCATCACATTCTACAATGAAGATTCATAACATAAGTTACATTCTTTTAATGACCTGTTGCTAAAACATAAAATAACTTGTCACTAATTTGTGCGATACAAGAGCTGCAACACACCTCATGCCACCACATTAGTGTTACAGAGGGCAGGAAATAAATAATGTGCAAGTAGAGAGCAGACTCTAGACTCTAGAAGTTGAAATGGTTCATACCTGGTTTCATTAAAATGTTCAATAATTTTCAGGGAATGACAGACATGCAGACTTAACAGTAACATAAACGCATCTTTCCCAATAAAATTAAAAGAATTGGCTAAGAAGAAATCAGCATTAATTTTGTTCTCTTACTTAAACAGTTCCTAGTGAAGTGAAATTAATGAAGAAAGAACATTTCAACCGTTGGTATGGGCTGAATTCATTCTACATGGCTCTGACACTCTCAAAGATTCCTGTTCAGGTAAGAAATAAAAATGCTTCTCATAAGATTTGATGTTCTCATAGCAGTGACTATAACTCATACTTAGATGTACAGGAGAGAATATGAGCAGTGTCTTCGCATCAATGTTTTGGTATGTGTACTTTCCTGAAATAGGTTGGTAAATGAAGTAAGCATGCTTTATAAAGTGTTAATAAACAATTCAGATGTGGCAGACAGGCTGGATAAGATTTTTAAATTAAATGAATTCCTTTCAAATACTCAGTACAAACACATTATATTAAAAATTTATCTTGGTCAGGTTTCAAAGACAATACAGTGGAACCTCGCTTAATGAGCACCTCTCATAACGAGTAATTCGCATAACGAGCAAAATAAATTGTAAAAAAATGACTCGTTTAACAAGCGATGTTTCGCATAACAAGTAGAAGAGGGGAAGTCCCGGATTGTGCGCTTGCTACATCAGTCTGTGTTTAGCACTCGTTCCGCTAGCATCTTAGTGTCACTTGTGATCACACATTTTTCAAAACTTGTGTTCAGACATATTATTTGTGATTCTTTTTTGTGCAAAGTTTAATAGCCCTTGCAAAAATGTCCCCGAAGAAAAAGCCGCAAAAAGACAGCCATAAGAGAATAAAAATAACCGTAGAAATGAAAAGTCAAATCATTGAAAAGCGAAAACGAGGTGTGAGCGTGGCTGATCTAGCATGCACATACAATCAGTCTACATCAACGATTTGCACTATCCTCAAGATAGTTCATTCCGCATAGAAGAAAAGATGAAGATGATTCACGCTCCTTAACAATGTATATATAATTTTCTTTGAATAAACGTTATACATAAAATTTTTTGAGTATTTTTTTGGCATGGAACACATTATCATATTTTACATTAATTTATATGAGAACATTTGTTTTGCTTAACGAGTGTTTTGCATTACAAGTAAGATTCTGGAACGAATTAAGCTTGTTAAGCGAGATTCCACTGTATTTTATTTTTAAATTTCTTCACAATAAAAGAACACATAGGTACAACATACAATACTGACATCTTTGACATTTCAGATTCTCCTGAGCATGATCTTTCTCATAATAGTCTACTACATGAATGGACTGCCGGCTGAGTGGTATCGATTCTCGCTCTTCTCCCTTACCGCGATCACCGTATGCCTTGTGGCGGAAGGTCTAGGCCTTGCCATAGGATCTGTCTTCAACGTCACGGTCAGTATGTATATCTGTAACAACACTCCATATGAAAGACGGAATTTCAGCATAATGAAATACAATAAACTCTCTGTTATCCAGCACATTCGAGAAATGGAGTGTACTGCTTTCATTAATCTGTCAGTTGCATTAGAGAAACCCTTACAGAATTCCAATACAAAGTCAAAACAACACATTTGCACACTTCAATTCTCATGTGGGAGTCTTCGTAAATAACAAAGCAGAATGATGTGAGAAAGATTTTCAGTGCAGTAATGCAGTCACAAATTCAACTAACCTCTACTCTAATAGCACCTGCATGATGAGTAGCACTTCTAGTGGCAGCTGGGAGAACTACAGTGTGACAGATGATCATATATGCATCACAACTTTGTTTTAGAAGTGGTTTTATAACAATATAAAAAAGTAAAGCTATCACAAAGTCAATGAAAAATCCGTCGAGTGTAACAATGTTTTTAGGTCACTTCTTTATCACACTTGCCTTACATGTTTCGGTTTAAGAAAACCATCATCAGAGGCACATATTACAAACACATGAAAACACTGGCGTTGTTTAATGTACACAGTATATATGCTGCGTGGACGCTGCTACAAATGTCGAAGTGTAAAAGCACAACACTTTCTAGGAATATTGAATGCACGTTCAACTCTCGCATTCCATCCGAAATTGCCCTCAAATTAAACCGTCAATGTTAAAATANAAAAAAAAAAAAAAGTAAAGCTATCCCTGTACCAGGCCGTGAAGGCCCATAGAGTTGTGAGATGTTGTGGGTCCCACATTATCTAGGCAATCGACTCAAAGATAGCGGTAAAGTTGTCAGCCTTACGCGCTGGCAGCGCTTTACTCCCCAGTAAAACTATTTCTGTTAGAGGCTGAGTCGACCCCAGGGCCATAGGATTAGGAAGGATTAGGTCAATTGAAAAAAATTAAATGACCTCATCAGGACTTGAACCCACAACCTTTCTCAACCAATTACACTACCACGTGCCCCCATAACAACAGTAGATTTTCTTCAAAATTTTTGCTGGCTGCATGAGAGTTCTGGGTGCTTAGATATTGGATAACTGGGAGTTACTGTAATTAGTTGCAACAAATTGTGAGAATGAAGGAGAAATATATACCAAAGAGAACTGTAATTGTTTGCTGTTTCTAACATAGTACAATGTACTTCTGAGGTACTGACCAGTGCCTGAGAAAGGGGTTTGGAGGCTCAGAACCAATCAATTCCTGTGGCGCTACAGCCCCAATTTGGGCCTAGGCCTACCTCCATGAAACTCTCCGTTTCACTTCGGTTTACTAGATCTTACACATATGGTAGGACTGCTTGGGCAAGTGATCAGCTCGTCGCAAGGCCTCTACCTGTAGACAAACACAGAAAAACGCACACAAACATCCATGCCCTGAGTGGGATTCAAACCCACGATCTCGGTTTCCGAACGAGCGAAGACAGTGCATGCCTTAGACCGCTCGGCTACCGTGACCGGACAGAACCAATCAATAACTGAGGGAATTATACAGACCCAAAAATCTAGTAGTGAATATTAAAAGGAGAAGGTTCGAGTGGTTGGGGCATGTGATCAGAATGAATCAAACCAGAGTGGTCAAGGATCTGAAAGAAAACTGAAGGGTGGAGAGGGGAAGACACAAATTGAGGAAGCTGGAAGATATACAGAATGATTTACAAAAGCTGAAACTGAAGAGACAGAGGCAAAAAGCAATTTACAGATCCACTCGTTCCAGCTCTGTTTCATACCTTCTCTCATTTGGTCTCCCAAATGATCATTCATTCATCATCCTTACCTACACAAACAAACTACTTAGCCATCTAACTATATTACCACACACACTACTATAAATGTTAAAATGTTAAAGTTTACATAATTTATAATTCTGCCAACAGAATGGGTGTGTAGTTGGACCATTGGTTGTGGCCCCCTTCCTTGGCTTGGCAGTGTACGGCTTTGATTTTGCAGAAAAGATCTCATGGACAATGAATACTCTCATGAAGACAAGTTTTATGAGGTGTGGTGTAGTAGCACTAGTACTGACTACTTTCGGGTTCGATCGGCCAGATCTTGACTGCGACGACATATACTGTCACTTCAAGGAACCCAAAGTTGTACTGAGAATGCTGGACATAGACAGATCATCTTTCTGGGCTGAAATATTCATTCTGTTTGGAATAATGATTCTGTTCAGGTCTCTGTGCTATATTGGGTTACGAATGCGAGTTGCAACATAAGATTTCAAGACCTCACACAACTGTGTAGAATTCGCAGTTAAGATATATAAACACATTAGAAGTGTACTTGATAATTCTGAAGGTCTGTGATGAATGTGTGTTGTTATACTGTCATATTTGTTGGACACTATTCATCATCTCATTTTAGTTACAGAAACAACATTTTGGAAGCGGAATCTCTTCCATCATCAGGTAAAGTATGAAACGTATTCTGTTGGGTCCACTAGATGGGGCTGATCTCTGTCCCTTGATCAAAGAATATAGATTAGTTCCAGCTAACAGACACAACAGGGTAGGTTTCATATTTTTACCTAATGATGAAAGTGAAGCCATCTTCCAAAAACGTTTCTTTTTCATTTATTTTACATTGACATCTAGCATACATAACATCAAATGGGGATAAGACATGTGGCCAGAGACATGACCACCTCTGTGTATATATATAGGAATTATGTCCACCGTCAACACAACAGATGTACTCAGTTTTAATATTCGATCTTTATTCCTGCTACATGTTTTGGTCATACAAGACCATCATCGGGCAGTTATATATAGGAATACATACAGTTATTGAACTACCAATATGGATCCATATCAGTGCAATGTGTCGTATTATATACTAACCTAAAACTTTTGCCTCAAGTTGGTGTTACAATCAAAGTATCAAAAACATAAATAATATAAAAGATAACTATAAAGGTATACCATATATCAAGATTAATAATGTGTTGAATATATTATTAAAAATATTTAAAGTATTTTAAAAAATGTTTAAAAAATTTATTAAAGGATTTCTTCATATGGTAGGTTAAGAATGTGTATGCCAACTTAAATATTTAAATTTTCACTGCTACAGAAACTGGGAATGTATGTTGTTTGTAGGTCTTTGTTATAGAAGCTCTCTACACTTTCTTGAGGCAAAAGTTTATGTTAGCATATAATACGACACATTCCACTGATATGGATCCGTATCGGTAGTTCAGTAACTGTACGTATTCCTATATATAACTGCCTGATGATGGTCTTGTATGACCGAAACATGTAGCAGGAATAAAGATCGAATATTAAAACTAAGCATATTTGTTGTGTTGACGGTTGACATAATTCTTATACATATATCTGGAACACACAACAGGATGCAACCAATGAAGATAATTCCTCTATATGTTTACTTCAGGTCCTTTGATAAAAAAAACACATACAAAGTACATATCCCCTTATGTCAAAATACAGTGAAACCCCTTATTTAAGGTTTCTTTTGGAAGCAGTGAATTTGAACAGTCAACTGAGGAAAATCTCAAATTGTGGTATTTTACCTCTTAAATGAATGGCATGTGATCATTGAAATTAAATGTTAAATGGGAGTTCCATGGTATTTAGTCTTTTCCCAATTAGATTTCATGTAATTTATATTTTGAAACAACTTCATCTGCAACAGACAATTAATGATCATTCAGATACAACTTATCAGTAGCATACCAATGATTAAATTTCAATGAGTGTTTCAAAAACTAATAAAAATTCATTTTACACAATAAAATTCACAGATCAGCTATAATAAAGAAATAAGGTCGTGCTATAGCTCAAGCGGTTAGTCGCTGGCTTCCCACCATGATGGCCCAGGTTTGATCCCAGGTCTGGTCAAGTGGGATTTGTGGTGGACAAAGTGGCACTGGGCAGGTTTTCTGCGAGTACTTCAGTTTCCCCTGCCAATCTTCATTCCACCAATTGCTCCACAATCACCCTCACCTATAATTTGGGACTGGTAAAATAGGCCAGAAGTGGCCGCAGTACAAGGGACTTAGTCCCACCCCACTAGCAATAAGAATTAAGAATTACTAAAGAAATAAACAAGGTTCTTCAGTTTCAAAACTCCTATTTTCTAACAAAACTATATTCAATTTTCATATTGTTGTCATTATTCCATGGGTGGCATGAACCAATAATCACTCTGTATGGTAAACAATGATCTAAAATGTTAGTTAAATGAATAACAACGCATATGTCGGAGGCCTAAAACAGAATGCAAAACCTTTGGATAACAGAGTAAGCAAAATAAACAAACACAAAGTAAATATGCTAAAGACTAAAACTTTCACATTTCAGAAACAACACAGAACTTTAAAATAAAACATCATGCTTTTTTTAAGACTCAGTCAAGATTACTTTAGGTCCTGAAATTACTTAGCATAAAATTTTTCAAAACACAGACTATTATCTGTATAAAAAATCAGCGCTTTATGTTCAAGTTCTGCACAATAAAATGAGAAACTAGTCAACAATAAGAACAGGAAAAAAGGTAAAAGTTAAAGCTATCCTTGTAACAGGCCATGAAGTCCCATAGCGGTGGGAGACGTCGAGGCTCCCACATTTTTCTTGACAGTTGGCTCACATATGGTGGTGACCATATGACCTCATCGGTAATCAAACCCATGACCTCCCAGCTTGTACCAGTGTCTCAACCAACTACAATACCACGTGCCCCAATAAGAACAGAAAGGATATTAAGTACTGGAGGTAATCCACAAGATAATGAACGATAAATAATGTGATATCTTATTCCTACAGTATTATAACTTAATTTTCCATTTATAGATAAAATAAACAGACGTGCAGGCACTCCTCTGTAATGCACTTCTCAATTACAATATGTTTTGTAACGTACTGCAAATAAATAAAATACTGATTCTGTTTATTCTGCCTTATTAATGCAATTTTTTTAATGATTTGATGGCTATGTGGCCATAGCTATGCAACCACTGAAACACTGCGAAAGTTGAATTAGTATGAGTGGGAATAAACATTAGGTGACCAATTGCTTCAACAGGATGCTTAAACATAATATTACAACTGCTTGCCATTGGACCCAAGGTTCATGGGTTCAAACCTGGCTGAGACCAAAGGAATTTTAAGTGCAATAAAAATCCATAGCACAACTTCCTTTGCAGACCCCATGTAATACATCTGAGGCATTTCGCTCATGATATGAGATGAACGAAGGAATATTATACACCATTTTTGCTCCTAGATGTCACTGCAGTCACATGTCCAAAGAGACCTCTGGCAGATAGGAGTGGGAACAGCTTGAAAACATTCAACCCAACTGAAGTATGCATACATAACTTGCCCAAGTGGTATCCAAACAGGAAATAAATTATAAATACACCAACCATTTGAGGTTAAAAGCACATTAATTACAAAGTGCAGCATTAGAACCCATTCAGACTCATGTTGTGGTCTTATGGGCAACAACACTACGTAGTCTGGTACGTGAGTACGAGCATCTTGATCTTCAGGGCAGAACAGCAAATACTGTAATTGAGTGGGTAACATTCCTGTTTCATCCTGAATTAAAACTTGACCTGGATATCAGCTACTCTGAGCGAGGTTTTTGTGAGTAATTCAAAACTGTATCTGATTCATCAAAACCCATTTTCATTAATGGAACCATAAATTTTTCTGTGAAGGGTTCTTTGTTCATGTTCACCACCTACGAAGAGTACTCGCTTCTGGAATGTGACATCATGTTGTCCAGTAGAAGTTTATTGAAAGAACAAGCCAGCAAGCAACTGACTTCTGTCAGCATCTTGGCTTGCTCTTTGAACTTGAAGATGGAGAGTATATTTCTTTCAAATGTGAGTAACTTCTTCCAGACAACACTAAAACACAATACTCTTCACAGTCACAGCTGAGAGAACCTTCAGTCCAACATATTCATCATGTTTAGTCAATGCCCAGCATTTGTTATCCTTGACCAGTTTAATTAAACTGATAACTTCACAACCTATTTGTCTAAGATCCAGTTTAATATTACCTTCCTCTCTACAACTACGTAAGTTGTGATATCTTACTTTGAGATTTTATGATATACTTTTTGTATGAGAAAATAAGGACATACTTTTTATAAGACAAAAAAACATTACTTATTTATTCTTCTATAAAAATATGTAACATTTAAAATACACATATCATTTAAAAATACACATCAGAATGTGACATATAGTTACCAGTGGCGTGAAAATCACAGTAAAATGGTTCATTTGCTCGCTGAAAACTGTGAGCTGAAGAAGTGGGAGTCTTGTTCTAACTGACTGGCTTTATCTTCAGCTGCCAACTTCATGATTATGAGCTTGGGGTCCACAAATCTCTGTGAACATCAGTAACAGCGCTCATTGAACTGGCAAATCTAAACAGTGTGTTGCTATTAATGATCTCAACAGCCCTTTCCATGTTGGTTAGTGATTAACAGGTTTAAAGTTGACCGTACTGCAATGGTTACAAGTATCCATTTATTTACGGTCACGCCATAGCTCAAACAGTTAGTCACTGGCTTCCCACTGTGGCAGCCCTGGTTTGATCCCGGGTCTTGTCAAGTGGGATCTGTGGTGGACAAAGTGGCACTGGGGCAGGTTTTCTCCGAGTACTTCAGTCTCCCCTGCCAATTTTCATTCCACCAATTGCTTCACAATCACCCTAACCTACCATCTGGGGCTGGTACAATAGGCCAGATGTGGCTGCAATACAAGGGACTTAGTCCCACCCCGCTAGCAATAAAAAAATCCATTTATTTGTTAAATGCACATCATTTTAAATAAGTTAGGAAATGTACACAGTGTAACAATTCTGGCATGTTTGCCCTGTTACTGTTGCTACAGAGGGAGCGATACAAATGTACAAAATTTTACGGAAATTATACTAGTCCGTACTGAGGAGACCATACCTTGCCAAGGTCAGGAGGTGTTGGGGGAGGGGATAATGTAACAGCTGTGGGGTGACGACAGTTCAAACAGAGTTCTCGGCTCCTCTGATTCCGCAATGCTAGACGTTCCTGTGACAGAAACACCTTCTCCTGCAAGAAAACCAAAAACTGAAGTTGAGTAAACCCTGACTAATCTGGGATAATCTGGGGGAGAGGTCTTCTGGATTAGCGAAGCAAAAGGTAGCCCTAAAAGACTAAAAAACTTAGAACACAAATAAATGGAAAATTTTAATGATATAATTATTGCTGATGAAAATAAGTAAAAACATATCACTGTAGAGCCTTCCTTTAAAAACTACAAAAAGATAGTACATTTATTCATCGATAGAAGACTCAGAAGCTGTACTTGTTTCTGAACGTAATGATGCAGGTTTGAAGAAACTGTCTCAAGTTCTGTCTGAACAGACAAGTGCCTCATCTGCCTTCCTAATTGCAAGCATGTATCTTTTAAAGTAGGTACTCAACTGTGAATAGCATTTTTCATATATTGATTTGGATTAACTGTAACCGGATTATCAAGGGTTTACTGTCTATCATGCAGTTTGAATTAACCTACGAGTATTCCATGTAAATTACAAAAGAGAAAAATTAAGAGGGAGTTATAATTCATCAATATTGTTACATGATAGAGTGACTACAGACCTCTTACAAAACTCATTAATTCACAAATCACTACCGCACACACTAACTAGGTCTTTTCAGTCTGCTACAATCTTCACTAGCCGTTGCTTGGTAGCGGCTTCCCCTCCCTCTGGGCTCCCAATGATCCTCAGCCTCAGCTACCAGCTTCTAACAGCAACATCCCAAAACAACTGAACCCTAGCAGTTCTCTGACTAACTCACTAACTCGCCAACCAATTCACTACTCACTAACTACAGTTCCTATCTTTCCCTGCTTATAACATCTCAGCATGAACCATGTAGAAAACACCACTTCCCATTGTTGTTGTACCCTCTTGTTGCTGTGGAACTGTCGCACCTGCGCCTGTTGGCAGAGCCGTTACCTTGCAGTGGCTGTTGTATAGTGGTTTATTTCACAGTCATTGTCTAGCGACACGTCTACATGCAACAATATACAGTGGAACACCCACATTTAATGTTCTCTGATTTAGGTCTTTCATCATTTAATGTTCACTTTCAATTATAACATTCTGATTGCTTTAACCATGGGGAAAGAGGCACTGTACACATTACGTGAAACAGATTCTACCAAGCCTGTCATAATCTGATCTGACCAATGCTCAGAAGCTGTTCTGTATACACATAATTCATATACATATATAACAGATGGCATTACCTACAAAATTCAGCACTTTCTGCGCCTTCTCATATGTTATTCATTGTTTAACAAACATCCTGTACAGTATGATCTTACGGTAGCCCTGATAACGATAAGACAAAGCAACTTGATTTACTGACATCAGAAAACTGCTGAAAAGAATTTAATATGACTTTGTACTATGAGAGCCCCTAAATTTAGGTATCAAACCTGTGCCAATCTCTTTTCACGATCTCGCAGTTCTGCCAGCTGTCTCTGGATCTCTGCTGTCTGCTCAGAGCGCTGCTTCTCGATCCTGCGGGCTTCTTCCAGAGCCCGTCTGCCTTCCTCCTTGGTCGCAACTGCCATCTTTGTTAGCGTTTCCACCTCACGTGCCTTAGACGTTAAATCACATTCAAAATCTTTCAGACGTCTCTGTTCATCATCCAGATGACGCTGCTGATTCTGTAGTTTCTCACGCTCTGATTCTGCCCGCTGACTAGCCTCTCGTGCTACTCCTATTCCCGTTTCCAATTCAGCACGGAGCTAGAGTCAAGCAATCAAAAAGAACAGATATTACACAGAAATATTTATTTCTTTAGCTTGGGCATGCCAAAGCTCACTAGTCAGACACTCTCTCCCGACTTCAATCCCAGGTGACTTCATGTCAGATTTTTGTTTGACGAAGTGACATCGGAGCAGATGTTTTGCTAAGTCTCTTCGATTTTCCCCCACTACTCCATGCTCATCCATGACCACCCCCTGAGTTGCGCAATTGGCCCATCTCTGACCTGATACTTGGCTGGTTACAGAGTAGGGCAGCTTTATTCATGAACCTGACATTTTTGGCCTTTTGTGAACATAGTACTGAACCTTTGAGAGCAAAGCCCTCCTAGAGAAGCTAATAGTCACTCAGCTAGTCAAGAAATTCCCTGCCTTTCATGAAACACAAAGATTCAGTACCATGTTCACAAAAGTCTGTCACACTCTGTAGGCCTGCTCTTCTCAGCTGTCCACTACTACTTCTCCAATATTGTCATAAGCCTGGAGGCCATGTCCTCTTTCTGCAACCTGGCTGTCATGCCATTGTGACAAGTGGGCAAGGGTGTACTTCCAATTTATTACCAAAGGGCTCATGCCAAAAAAAAACAATACTTTATCATGCTTGAATAATTTTATATAAAGTAAACAGTATATACATACATATCTTTATTTAAATATATAGAATTACATAATATGCATAGTTAATACTGTGATTCACATGCCCATTGCTAGGCAACGGCACAGTAAGCCCATTCCTGAAGTTACACTCTCAAAAATAGAAGGACATCCATTGCTGGGTAACAAACCAATAAACACGCATTCTTGACAACAGAAGACCTACTAAGTATGTCACATGACAGTGTCATAAAATATGGTCCTTTATACATATATATAATTTAAGTGGTATTATAGTACCCAGGTCAGTGTTTACAGTATATCAAGATACATAAGTCTCTATTACCTTTGAAATATCAGGAGAAGTAGCATCATGTAGTCGAGCCATTGTCTCAAGGCGAGATTTCTCTGAAGCCAGACTAAGTTTTTCTTGCTGCAGCTGCTGCCTCAAGATCTGCTGCTCTGATAACACAGACTCTTTTAAATTCTGTAACAGAAAAATTTTGAGGTGTCACAAATCTAAAAAACCTGGCATCAAAAAAGTACGTTTTTCAATGACCTGTCACCACAGGAATTTTCATGATATGGCAACAATGACACTCCCATTTCACCTCAGAGTCACCATATCACCAGGTAAGTCCCTGTTTCCACAATACATTTCCAGGTGCTTTGGAGCTGGAACGGCTCAGTTGGGTTTAGTGACTGCACTATTTGCTGAATGACTAAGGGATTTATCTTTCCTCCACCGAGTCCAGACTGGCTGAAAGGCCTGCCCAGCCTCCTAGCCAATGGGTTATAACATGATTGTGGTATGAAGCATAACACTCCCTTCCAATATTGAGGTTAAGTATGTGTGAAGCTATACCTCCATTCCCTCATATATCTTCACGGCATGGTGTTTAATTAAGCACAGGGACATCTTTCTAATAACCTTCTTATGTCCCTAGGCATCTTAAAAAGTCCAGGGAGCTCTGTAGAATGAATTTCTCCCTCTGGTTAAGATGTCAAATTGTACTTAGTCAAGCCCTTACATGTAAAATAAGCATAAAGATTAGGAAAGACTAGACTACAAGTCTGTTCAAAAGCAAAGGAGACACAAACGTAGCAACACTGAAAGATTTCATATTCAGAAGATATTCTAAACATAATAAACGCTGAGAAATGGCCTACCAGACTTTCCTGCGGCCAACATAAATGGAACAGGCATGTAGGAGGAAATACTATCATATAGTATCTAACGCAGTTTCTGCTGCTCTAAACTGTAACCTTGCCTGTAACTGCTGCCGTTCTACGTCAATCTGCTGCATGGCTCGTTCACGTTCTTTCTCAAGAGCCTTGGTTGCAGCATCTAGGCGTGCAGCTTCTTGACGCAGGTTCCACCTCTCCTCTTCAGCGCTCTGCCGCTGTTCAGCAAGTTTCTGCTCGAGTTGAGACACCAGCCCTACTAGCCTTTGGCGTTCATCTTCGGAGGCCATTCTCTGCTTCTCTAAGTTTTCTCGTATCACTGTTATACAGATGGTAAACATTAAGAGGTAACACCTCCTTAATCCTTTTTAAATTTCTTGGGGTGGGCTGTGACTGAGTCCACTTCACACACGGGCTATTCATGAGCCTACTGTACCAGCCCTGAGTGATAGGCGAGTACGGGGAATTTGATGGATGGGCAGGGGAAACCGAAATGCTTAGAGGAAACCTGCCCCACTCACTTTGTCCACCACAAATCCCAAGTTAAAGAATAGATAATTCTGTCTGTATCAATGCAAACTAAACAGCTGGCAAGGTCTGAGGAACAATGAACTATAAAAGTGTAAACATGTGACTTCTTGATGGTGTGACACTGCCCCCTCTGACTCCCACTTGCCTTTATCAACTAGAACAAGGTGCTTATCACTAGCAACAGTCACCACACAGTTATATCTTGTAACATTCATGTGAAGGGGGTCAATCCATGGGACTTCCTTCCATGGCCTCAGTATAGACCTTGTATTCTGAAGAATATTAATGAAAGGCTATTTTTTCCAGAGATGAATTCAATATAATGTGACATATAGACCTGCTACTAAGCGGCGACTCTGTAGTAATGGTCCAGTTATTGTTGGACTATAACAATAGAAATAATGTTTTCTATGTGGTCCGTGCCAAGATGTTATAAGCACAGTTTGAAGCAATGAGTTAGTTGTTGTTAAGAGTTGTCAGCAGTTCAGTTCAATGAAGTGACATGAAGTAGCTGCATGGTGAGTGAGAAAGTTCAGTTGTCAGTTGGAAGTTAGCCTGTGAAGAGAAGAGTAGGAGGTGGGTGTGAAATGGCTGCCAGCCTGGGACCCAGTTAGATGAGCTGTCAGTTGACAAGAGGACCTGAATGTGGGAAGCTGAAGACTCTCCCTCAGTATAACCTGTTGCCAGGAAATGGCTAATGAAGACTGTAATAGACTGAGGACCCTAGTCATTATGTGTTAGTGATCTGTAAAGTGTAGTTCCTAGTGGTGTATACAAGCGGTCAATAAATCCATATCCCATCTATAGTCACACATGCCCCTAAATCATGACAATATATTTAACTGTACAGTGTTAGTAAGGGCAGTTGTGCTACATGCCTCTAAGTTCTGCCTCTCGGGCCTGGAGAGTTGCTTCCCGTGCATCCAACTGGCTGTGATGCTGACTGCTAAGCTCCGTCTGTAGCCCACTCAGATCCCGACTGTTGCGCCCCAACTGCTCCAGGGCTTCATGGAGACTCCTGGGACATAATACCAAGATCAGTTATTTGTGTGAAAGTAAAGTTGTCCCTGTGCTTAATTAAGTACACACACAGCATGATCTTTTTGGATGTTATGCCACGTAGTCTGGTGGAAGTTTACCGACATTTCCGCTCTGCCTACTGCTTGCTGGGGTTACGCTTTCATCCCGAAGGCAGAGACAGTACATGTCTCTGAAATATCAGTGAACATCTATGAGACTACATGACCTCATGTTTCAGAAGAAAGTATTCTTCATTACAAGAAATATTTTACAGTTAGGGTATGGGCATATGTTGTAAGGGAGTTACGTAGCTCAGTCAGTATAGTGAATGGGCTACAGGGTGAATTATCAGAATCAGAGTTTGATTCCCTGCAGGGAGCAGAAATATCTATCTTCAGTACAGTTCCCTGATAGGCTCTGAGGCACACCGAGCCTACTACATGATGAATACTAAGGGCTCTTTCCCTAGGATAAAAGCAGCCACTACATGAAACTTACTGCTCAACTCCATCTAATGCTGAAGGTTAAGAAGGATTGGAACTATAGTCCCATAAGGAGGCCATGGCTAATACTGGCCAGGATGATAATAAGAATCTTTTATGTGTCGAAATGTAGATGTTAAATAAAAGATAAACTGAAAAAAGATAAAAGATATGCAGTGAGGGAAGAACTAAAGATGGGAAGGTAAGAGAGGATACAGATGCAAGAGGAATGCTTACAGAAGGATGCAGATAATTGGAGAAGTCTTTGCCACGAGATGAATGATCCTCATAGAAACTTTGATTGATTGATGATGATGATGATGATGATAACAATGGTGGTGGTGATGATGAGTCTGACAGAAACCTCAAGATTCTAGATACAAATTCTGCACCTGGAGTATGATGACGCTTCCTTCAAGGCATCGCTCTCCAAAGAACGTGCTCTATTCAAGTGCTCCAAAATGTCTGAGTGCTGCTTTCGAGCCTCCTCCAGATCTCGAGTGTGCAGTTCCCTCAACTCCTGTAAGTCCTTTGCATGTTCCTTCTGCTGTGCTGCCAACCTCATCTGATGTTGTTCGATGAGAGATGCGTGCTCCTCCTGCAGTATTACCAACACTTTTACGAGTGACCAGAATAAAAGTTAATAGTTGTGGTATTTATTCGTGATTTGGCATCCTCGGAGCAGTGAGTATTAAAATTACAGTCTTCTGGAATGAGATGTCATGTAATTAGACAGGTAGATAGGTACCAACATTTCAGATTAATCTAGTATCTTCATCTTCAGGATAAAAGATCTGGGCTTATATCAGATCTTCAGAAAATAGTTCCCTAACATCCACTTTAATACTATCCTCCTATCTATGACCAGGCCTCCCAAGTGCTCTCTCTTCCTTTAGGATCTTTCAACAAAATTTTGTTATGTGTTTCCTGTTTTCCTCACGAATCCTGCATGTCCTACAAATCTCTCTGTGCTCAATTTAACCTATATCCTACTCTGTACTATAAACATGTCCAGCTGCACACACACAAATGGATGATACCTGTATCCTTGTGATCTTGGCCTGGTGCTCTCGCTCTAAGGACTCATTCTCAGCATGCAGTCGCTGAATCTGTCTCTCAGAAGAACTTTCCAGCATTGCAATTTGACGCCTACAAACCACAATCATATTGCGTGAGATATGAGATCCTCATGACAGCCATCATGAAGAACACTGCCTTCTAAGATGTGACACCTTTCAGTCTTGAGGACTGTTACCAATGTTTCTGAGGAACCTACTGCCTCCATCTTCATGATAAAAGAGTATGATGGGTATGGGAAAAAGTGGTACATGTACAGGGAGTGGTGGGGCAAGTAGGGCCAGGACTCTAACCAAACCACTGGGAGTAGGGAGAATAGTTTAAAGACTATCACACCATTTAAAGGGCTGTTTTCCCAGGGCAGAGTGACAGGAAGAAATACTGGCTAAATGAACCAACTGGAGACAGAAGGGCCACAGTAAAGAAACACTGGCCCCTTTAAGAGCCTTTAAGGGAAAAGTAAATGGGAGAAAACACAAACTCATAACAGTGACTGATTCAAAGTGCACAGTCAGAGAAAAAAAGTGGAGAAGTGGAAGAGAGAAAGGAAAATGTAAACAAGAAGTTCTGGGAAGAACTAATCACCTTCTTTTCTTTTGCTACATATTAAGCACATCATACAACACAGACCACATGGAAAAAAAGCGTCTTAACATTTCTTCTTTTGTTGCATGTGTATTAGTTGCCATGGGAACACATTTACCGAGCCACTACCCAGCAATGGCCAACTCTCCCTGCTTTACTATCCCAGCTTGTTAGGGGGTGAACACAGACATGCAGACAGCAAGGTGATCTCATAAGCCTCCTTTTTTGGCCTATTTTCCTTATTTAAATAAATAAAAGGAGGCTTATGAATTCATCATGCTGTCTGTCTGTGCACCCTCCTATCATTTCTAGGCAATGGCTTGGTTGCTAGGCAACTATCATGAATTTTCATATCTTTACCACTCCCAGTATTTGTGTGATATGAATGGCTGCAAAAATGGAGGGGAATGATGGGAAGTGTGCTGGAAGGGGAAGGTAACAGCCCAAGGTAGAGGGAGATGTAGAGGAGGTGCATCCATAGGACTCTTTCTACAGCCCCTGCACAACCTCAATACTGTGAAGGAAACTGATGACAACAGTGGCACAAGAACAGTCTCGTGCCCCACTTTACACTGGAATAGGTTTTCTGTTTAGCAGTGAATGTACAATACTTGTATGAGTCTTCAAGTAGCTTCAACTCTTCCAAATGTTTAGCCTTCAGGCTCTCCAGAGCTGATGTAAGATGTCTCTTCTCACTTGTCTCTTGTTCCACCATAGCCTGCAAATACAACATCCACACTGCACACTGGAGATAAAACATGAAAACATGGACACCATACTGATGTGATCTGAATAGCTGAGTAATGAACTGATTAAAGGGTGGGGCACACCAGCACTTACACAGCGACCATCCTTGATCTATTGCGTATCCTCGCTTATAGTTAGCCCCCCCGCCACAGTCCTGCAATGAAGTGTAGTACTTTACTTAAAGAGGAATTCAAGGAATCACTTAGTTTCATAAAATGAAGTCCCAGGTGACAGAGTCTTAAGTTAGCTACAGTGTCACAGTAATACAGAACATGTGTGACTGCGTCTCTGTTCGGACGCCTTTCAAAGGTGGGGCTATTTATTAAACCCACTTTTAAAAGGTGTCATTTCAGATGACAGTGTCCTGTAAGTAGCTCAGTTAACCATCTCAGCTGGTTCCTACTTAATTTTAACATCTTCCTAGTCACTTTCATGGGCAGTCCTTGAAACAAGACCATTGTGTGTTTATGTCCTACTGCGGGCTCCCAGTGTCTTTTAAGGTCCCTGTTCACCCAGTTTCAGATGGCCTTGGCAATTGCTACTAAAATGCCACACAACAGTTCAGAACCTATAAACGAACATTCATATCTCATTCTTTCCAACTGATCATTGTCATCATCGTCGGAACTGGTGTCATTGTTATCACCATTGTTGTCATCATCAGCATCATCTTGACAAAACAGCCCTTTTTTAGCCATAGCATTCCTTAGAAGATTCTGCCAGATTTTGTCTAATCCTAATTACGTTTTGTATGAGTACTTAATTGGGGGGCATGCAGTAGCATAATTGGTTGCGGCACTATGCTACAAGCCGGAAGGTCATGAGTTTCAGTCCCAATGAGGTCACTGGATTTTTCAATTTACCTAATTCTTCCAGCCCCACTGTGGCACTCGGCCTCTAACAGAAATGAGTACCAGGAATCTTTCTGCAGGTAAAAGGTGGTTGGCACATAAGGCTGACAACCTCACTGCCAACTGTGAGTTGTACAGAGTTTCACACCAAGATCTCTAACTCAACCTCCACATATTTTGAGGTTTGAGCTTCTCACAGCAGTAATTATGAAGATTACCATCTTCTGAGATGTGATGCTGTATAGTCTGGTAAATCACTACCTACATTTTGGAGGAACCTGCTCCCTCCATCTTTAGATTGCAACAGTAAGCCAAGTGTCCAAGTCAGTGCAAGACACTTCACAGATGATGGTCAGTAAGTCTACCTCACCACTGATGGATATGCCCTATGGGTACCTCCATCTCAGGAATGGA